CCTGTCGCGGGGCCTGTCCGAGGTCCCCTAACGCGGGCTTTTCTCCAGGGTCTGCGCCCGTGCGGGCTTTTCTGGATCTCTGCGTCGTTAAATCCAACCTTTTTAAAAAACTAAAAGCCTTTAGTGGCTTAAACCTTCAGAAACTTGGGGGTTTTCGTCTTTTATTGCGACACTTGCTCTGTAGCCGGGTGGAGCGTTCCTGAGGTGTGCCCTGCTTTAACGAGAATCATACAGGATGGCTTTTTAAACTCCTGCAAATCTGTAGTTGACTGTTTTTTTGAAACTAAATTCTAATAGTAAACTGAACGTTTTACTGTATTTGCAAGAAACTGAAACTTCTGTCATTCATATTTTTAAGAAAAACTTTTATTTTTTTTTTCCCCAGCTGGGACTGCTGCAACCCTTTATCAGTTCCTGAGAGAAAACTGTAACTCATCTATAAATGCAGATCTGAGCACGTTTCCAGGTAAATATGATAATCTACAGTAAGGTAAGGCACATTTTATCAAGGAATTGGCCTAGGCACATTTTATGATCTAGGTGAAACAAGTCAGAAATGTCAAGAAACACAATTTCTGCAGTATACCTAAACCTGCATTTGGAACTGCTCCTGCTGCTGCTGTTTCTGTGGAGAACTGATGTCTTTTCAGTAGCTGAGATATTAGGAGATGATTAAATAGATGAGACACAAGACAGAGAAGGGTTTTGAAAGGCTGACAAACTTCAGTCCAGCTTAGCAAGAAAGAGTAGGAAAGTGCTTGTTTCTCATGTCAGTGGGCAGCTTGATATTTTCAGTTTGTTATAATAGCAAGAACAGATTGTAGTGGGTTATTTTAAATAATTATTTTATCTCTTTGCAGCATGTTCAGTGCCTGGTATTCCAGGTGTGAAGAAATGGTATTTTGCAAGTCATGTTATATGCGGTTATTATCAAGTAAGACATACATTTTTTCAGAATATAAGTTCCTCAACTGTCTGTGTATCTCTAGTGCAAGTTAAAACTGTGATGTCAAAAATTCTTTTTGCTTAATTAATCCTCTTTCCTTGGTTAGTTCTGCAGTTCTGACTGGGAGGAAATAAATTCTGACACACAGAAAAATGAAGACTCTCTCCAAACAAGTATTGATGAATGCCTGGGAGCCATACAAAATTTTGAAGAAGATGACAATAACAGTAGAGAGTCACTGTCTATGATTGAGTATGCATATTATTTTTATTGAATGTATAGTGATCTGACATTTAATAGTAATAGCCCAAGGGAATCAAGAAAATGTGACAAGTACAAGCTATTAAAATGAACAATCCCCTACTACTACTGAAAATAATTCTGTTTAATGTAGCTTTAATTTTTTTAGTTACAGATGATTTTTATAGAATAACTGAACAGTTTCCTATCAGCTGACAGTTATGTAGACAGAAAGTTTTTTTGCTAATCAATCTTGAATCCTGCTTCCACTTTTACTGCAGATTGTTTTGAAGTCGTTTAGCCTACTTCTTCTTTCATAGAAGTTGTGGATGACTCCTCCCTGGAAGTGTTGAAGGCCAGGCTGGATGAGGCTTTGAGCAACCTGGTCTAGTGGAAGGTATCCCCGCTCATGGTGGGGGGGTTGGAACTAGATGATGTTTAAGGTCCCTTCCAACCAGAACCATTCTATGATTCTATGATTCTGCCTCAGTAAAAAGGGAGATAAGTATATCTCATTGCCTAGGTATGTTTGTGCAGAATTTTAAAGATACATCTGGTAGTATTAATTAGTTGTAACTTTTTATTTATATTTTGTTTATATTTTGTTTTCAACCATGTTGCTTTTCGTTTTCAGTATCTATGATGAAGCTGCAGAAAGTCTGCATCAGTTAGCTGATAAACTGCCTGCCCCAGGTAATCTCTCCTTTAAAAGCAATCTCTTTTGAGTTTATCTTGTTAGTTATTACTCTAAAAACTCAGCTGGTAAAATCATAGTCGAATGAACAAATTCAAAGGATGTTGGTTAAATTAACTTCCGTGCAGCTCTTGCTAGTAGTTTAAGGAGCTTGAGCATGATTGGCATTGCAGATCAGCTTACAGAGCAATTTGCTGCTTATTTCTTTGGAAGGCTGTATTTCAGTAGGGTTTAAGGTAGCTATTTACATAATTAGTTTTTCCATCTGAAATGGCACCAAAGCGGTAACAGACAGTAAGCAATATGAAACTCAACATGCAACCACAGGAAGTTTTTATGAAAAAAAATGGAAGGTGTTGACATCAGGCTTACATCTGATGTGCCAGCTGATTGTGGGAGCTAAGAACCTGTGAAGTAGCATAGATCATAACTATTTGAGTCAGATTTTATAGACTGGAGATGCATGTCACCTTGCATGTTAGGTTTACATAATGGTGGGGTAGTTGATTTGGAATAGCAAAGGAACTGAATGCAGAAAGAATGAGAAATAGGCAGTTTAGAGATGTTAAAGGGAGGAAAATGGCATAGCATAGTTGTACTGGACACAGGGATTCAGGACTCTCATCTGTCAAATACAGTGTTGAGCGAGAGAGGAGAAAGGTATAGAACTGCTGTAGCTGATTAAGTGGCAAAATATGTAATTTTGTTTTGTGTTAATCTGGGAGGAGTAGTGAGAGATGAATTAAAATGTGTGAAAAGTGTTTTAAATCTTGCTAGAGTTACTTCAAGTCACTCTAAGCCATTTCAGTACAGGCAGTGATAATCAGTGCTTTTCTATCTATAAATGACTGGACTGTTTACTGCATAATGATACTTTGAGTCACATATGACTGTTTTTATAGGCAGAGCCATGGTTGATGTCGTACTGCAGGCTGTTGAACGAGATGGACCCAAGTTAAAAGACTGCTTACCTGCTATCGGTGCCCTGAAACACCTGAGAGAATGGCACTCTGCACAAATCACCATTGCAGGGAATGACTCGAAAGGGTATGCTCTTTATTTTAGGTCTGCAGACAAGGTTACTTTTGTTTTGTGTTTGTACATGTCAGTGTTTTATTTGAAAATAAAACACTGTAGTGTCTTTAGTACTTTACATGTATACTTTGCAAATACACAGATTTTTATGCTATTGTTGTTTGAGGGGAGGAATTGCTCGTGCTAATTTATTGTAAATACATGCCCTAACCAGAGGGACAGGCAAAAAAGCAAGCCCTCTGAAGTTCCTGTTTCTATGAGAGCAGAAAGTTAGATAATTTATTTTTCACTTTCCATCACTAATGGCTTCAGTGTGTCTTCTATCTTTTGAAGATTGACTATGCTACACAGTTACTTGTATTGACTATAGTTTTCCAGTTTTTGTGAAATGTATGTGTAACTCTGCTGGTTTTACTTTACATTTTATATTATCTTTGGTATTACATTTAAGAGATAAAAAACTGTGTCTGATTAGTTCCTCCTTGAAAAATGAAGTATAAATGCTCAGTTACTTGGACATATTACCTATATGCTTCTGAAGAGTCTTAACTGAAACTAGTGATTCAATTTGAAATTAAGTCTGGTAATTTCCTTACTGTCCTCCTCTAACTGACGTAAGTAGGCTGTGAAATGTCTCAATAGACACTACAGTTGTTATTATTTTTTTCCCTGTGCAGTAAATTATCATGTTGGTATTTAATAACTTGGCAGTTCCCCCTCCACACCCAAAAGATTAAAGTTTGCTTCATAGAATGTTTGATTAAGCTTAATTCTAAATTAACAAAACTATTTAAAAAGTTGAGTGCAATATACCTACTATATAGTACTTCCTGAGGTACACCGAGGAAGATAAACTTATTGCAGTGACTTCCATAAACACTTGATCTCAGTGCTCATTGATACTGTCCTGTGCAGCCAGCTTTTGACTGAATAAATTTTTCTGCTACCTTTTATGTAAAATGAGGCCATTTGGGCATACAGTTTCTCTGATGAAAGTTCTCTCACTTATTTTTTCTGTTCTATTGATGGTGCTGATTTCTCTTAGAATACAGACTGTCAGTAGGACCCACAGATACTGGCTGTTCTCTCTGTGTTATTGCTGAATTTGGATAATACTTGTATTGCAGTCATGTCTCTACTTAAAAAGCTAACTACATACCATCTAGATGGGCTAGTGATAGCCCCAGTGGTGGCTACCTGGCTTTGCTCCAGCTTCTAGCACCCGAGCTTACTGTGGTATGCCTGCAGCTTGCCATTGCTTGTGTTCTTTGATGTCTGACAAAGTTATTTGCTGTCATGCTCATGAAGGATATGAACAACTTCCTTTACAGAGCCTGAACCAGCAATTTTATAATATCTTGTGGAATATCTTTGTGGAATGTAAAACTATATATGTCTGTCCTAACATACACAAGACTATTCAGTGCTAAGAGGTAATAGGTAAATTCAGTCAAATTGCACTGCATGTTAATTTATAATACTAAATTCAATAAGATTAATTCTTCCTTATTTTTACAGTAGCTGGCAAAAGATTGCAGACTATCTATCAGCAGACTTTGTATCTTCAGATAATATCGTGAATATTATAGATGTAAAAGAACTCTGGAGAGGAAAGATTCAGATATGGGAAAGAAAGGTAAAATAACTTTTTCAGCTATGGTTATTTTTTTAAAGCATCTGTGTCCATCATTTAAAGCATGTAGTGTACAGTGCATTTTATGCTTTAAGCCAAATTTGGTTTTGACAATGTTAATTCTAAGAGGTAATGTGCAACGTAACTGGGTGGGTGGAGCAACAACTCACTTTTTAGCACTGTGAAAGGATGAATGAAATCAAGATTTGAATTTCCGAAATCCGGTTATTCTCCTCTGAAATGTTTGCCTTGGAACTTCTTATTCAAAATTAGATTGTTTTATATATGTCACAAATTATTGTCATGTAACTCTCTAAGTCATTGTTGGAAGCACGTCTGGTGTTTCTGCAAAGACTGGTAGCTTTGTGATTGTGAAAGACATTGTTTACATTTTCAGTATGAAGGTTTTGGGTATAGTAGTTGGTTACCTAAGTCTAATATTTTAACCTAGTTTTACAGATCTGCTGGAAACAAAAACAATACTAATTGTTTAAAGTAGTGATGCATGTAAATGGCTGAAGATAAATATTTTTTCTCTCTTTTGACACGTTTATTGTCTCTCTCTCTCTCTCTCTTTTTTTTTTTTTTCCCTCCACAGTTTGGATCAGAAGTTAGATTTCCAGAATTTTGTATGAAGAGCACTTCAGCAAAGAAATTCAGCACTTCACATTTAAGTTCTTTTTTTGCTGTTAAAGAGGAGCAACAATCAAGGATCACTGATGCTTTGCCAGAGGCAAGTATTTTTCTTCATCTTTATTTGAGCCACTAGAATTCATCTGTTTTACTTTCCTGAGAAAATTAGTAATTAGGGAAACCTTAGTCAATTGGAAATTAAACATAAAAGTAATGATTGCATAAGCTTGAGGAATACTTCTTTTGTTCACCTGTGTTCTCAAAACAGGTATTTAAAATTTCATCTGTTTGTTCTCTAGGAATGTAATACCAACATTTTTTTTCAAGTAGAAATGGAGACTTTGTTCAATATTAATACTCAGAATATGTAATTTATTTATGAATTTTGTATTTATCTAACTTTCTCTACTTAATTTTAAAAGTGGGGTTTTTGGGGAGGTGTTTTTTTTTTTTAATTCCTGTTGCTGTTTCATGTTTTCCACTGGAAGTAGATACTTGATGGGAACTCATATTGGAATCATATTTGTTGATGAAAACTAAAATTTGTTTTCATATTTGTTATGAAAACCGGTATCAGTTGAGAGATTATTATTTCCATTGTTGAAATATGTACATTTTGGGTTGCATTTATCTGTTCCTGGTAGATCTTATTTTTCATTGAATTTGGGTAAGTGCTACAACCCATTTAATGCACATGGTTGACATTCTAGAAAGTAATTTTTATTAAACAGAACTAAATACCTACATTGTTTTTATATAATTATATTTAATATGATATTGTGAAATGTTTTTCTCTTTATATTCCTTTATACCTCTTTCAGGTGTACTTGTAAGGCAAATGCCTCCAGCAAAACACTTGAGGAAGTTCCACTGAGATAACATTGTATATAGTGTTACAGATTTTTTGATTTGATCTCTTTTCAGGTTTTTCATTACTATGGTTCTGCACTAGAATTTTTACAGTTGGTGGTGCTCTCTGATCTACCTTCTTTTTTTATATCAGATCTGGAATTTGAGCTGTATCCTTTTTTAAGGATCTAAACCTACTACTGATAATGGTCAATAGCAGAAATAAAACAGTCAGGATCTACCCATGCAAACAACATGTGAGGGTTGGCAAGGACTCATTCCATTCTAACCTAACCGAATATTCATAGTGATTCTTCACAACTATTTTTTTTTTTAATTTTAAAATTTAAATTACAGTAACAATAACCAGCTATTTTTTATATTACTGCACACAGACTTTCTCTGTTGATGTGTATGCTATTTGTGGGGAAAGAACAGGGAAATATTTACTGTTGTGTAAGTGTAAAAAAACCCCAAACCTTACTTATTAATGCATATAGTGTGCTTTGCAGTATAGAACATTTTTCCATAAATGTTGGTGCTTTAAGAGCCGAAGCTGCAGGTGGCTTCAACCTTGAGCAATTAATTCCTGACCTTGAGTGAAAGATAAAATGAAAATAAAACAAAGTGGACTAACAAGCAAGAATGTGTATGAGACAAGATAAGGGATGAGTTCTGTGCTGTAATCAGTAACCAGTCAGAAGTAAAAGAATGGCTCATGAACAGGTGGAATTATCCCATCATGTCAATTGTTCAGGCACGTGTGTGATAAGGGGTAACAAATCAAAAGTGAAAGAATGCCGCGTGCTTGGGGCGTGGAAGAGGAAAAAAGGCTATAGAAGCAGTGCAAAGCTTCAATAAAGTGCTGATGAAGACATCTCGGTGTTGGTCATTTCTTCATCCGCTGCACATAACCTGTGTTTTTATTGTGTAGCTGCAAAATCTGTGGCAAGGTATAGCAGATGAGTTTTCTCTTGAGTTGTGTCCTCTTCTGAGATCTCAAGGTGTATTCCTATTGGTTTTAAATTTATGTACTTTTGGTACTGGTCCTGGTGTAACAATTGTAGCTTAGGCTATATAAGCCTCCCAGGATTTTTAATATAGGCAGGCATAAACTGATATTTATGTATTTAAGGTGTCAGTGATGTATTTAATCATAAAATATTTCCAAGTGTACTGCTTTGCCTGGAAAGGTGAATATATTTTGTGGTACTGGGGTATCAAATATTAGACACATGCAGTCCTTATTTCCTTGTGAAGATGAGGTTCCTTAAACTGTTCTGTTCAGGAGCCTGGCAAGAAAGAGTATCAAGGAGCCATCTACACTGCTTCTGGACCAGATTTCTTCTCTCTCTGGGAAGGTAAAAACTTTTTATTTAGGTGTAGCAGAAAAATGAAGATCTGTATATTGCTCATAAAAGATACAAGAATAGTATTTTTAAACCTAGTCTCTCTGTAAGCTCATTCAATATTTAGTTCTAAAGCCAATTTGGCTTTTAAAGGTGGATGCTATGGAGTTCATGACAATTTGTAAGCCCGTTGAATGTTTTTCTCTCTGCCTTAGCCAAAACAGTTACAACATGTTCTCAGGCTACTTTTTAGAGTCTGCACATGTTGAATTGAGTGTGTTTTCAAGATAACAATTTCTTGTAGGAATTCTTTTTGTCTACTGGAAATATTACACATTTTCAGGCTTTTCTAATAGCTGTAAAAGCGTTGCTTTATTACTTGACTACACAAATACTTGTGCATTTTTTCTATTAGTGCTTATTGGCCTGAAATTTACATACAGATGTAAACATAGCCTAGTATCTGATTATTTGAAAAGAATAATATGTAGGGAGGAAAAAAATTACATGTTTTTCTGAGGAATGCAGAGTTGCTGGTGCCAACTATATCTTTGAATTCTCTTTTAATTCTGGATACTACTCTACAGCAGTGTTTTTAACTGAATTATTGAAAGACTTGTAATAAGTAACAAATACCTTCTTCTGTATGAAATAGAAATTCAGGAGTTAATGATCTGTCAACTGGAGAAAAAAATAAGCACAATTTTTACAGCTTCTCTATGCTGATGTGAATGAAAGAAGTGTTGAATAAAGATGTTTTTCTTCAATTGAAGTACATTTGAAATAGTGCCAAATCAGTAGTTCAAGAATTGCACGTAAAATAGTTTTTAGTAATATTGCATGTATGGTATTTTCTCTCATTGTTTAGGTGGGAGCTTTATTTACATTGCCATGTAATGTCAGCAGTGTAGCGATTCCATCCCCTGCCCAGCTGAGTACCAAGAAATGGAAGGAATATATGGCTAGGAAACCCAAGGTCATTACTGGTAGGTAAAAGGAAGATGACTACAGGTAGTTTGTTGTGGTTGTATCTATATGTGTATATGTGTGTGTATATATATATGAGATAATTTCACTGGAGAAAAAAAGGGCATCCAAAATGTACAGAAAAAAACAAAGTCAGTGATTGTAATCTTCATTGACACAAGGTTTTGGTGAATGTAAGTCCAGCTATGCAGACTTGTTGTAGAGGAAAATTTATAACAACATCATGGCAAGCTTTAGAGAAACAATGCATCTCTTTCAGACCATTTCTGTGTCCTTGTCTGTCAGCTGAGATCCAGATTCCACGTGCCTTACTGAGGTGATTGTACAATCCGTGGGAAAAGGGGTTTGCTTCTCAGATGGAAATCCAATGAGCTTCACTTAGGTGCTTCCCTTCTCATTTAGCATTCCCAGAGGTTCTTCAGGGCACTTGCATTTAATTTCAACCTCTTCTTGGGAAAATACAGAACATCAGGAAATGCTGGATGTTCCCCCATTTGTCTGAGAACCAGTGTGCTTAACTAGTGATTGAGAATGTCCTCCTTCCTTATGGGGCTATACTGATGGCAGCCACCTCCTGTTACGCAGTGTGACAGTGCTTAGAAATTCAGTTCAGAAGGTCAGAGAGCAAAATCAGTGCAGATCAAGACTGGATGGAGTTTCTCAGTCAGCCAGTATATATGCCCTGCAAGGAGGGGCACCGTACAAGTGGTGACTGAAGTTTGTGGGGACTTTAAAACATCAGGCTAAAAGGAACTTGGTGATAGCTCATTGTATTTAAATAGGACAGGGTAAGATGTAGGATTCTGTCTGCTTATGTGATTTTGTTGTTTATACAGTGGTGTAATATATAATTCATGCAGATTCCAAGGAACAGTGACTTCTTCAGTTGCCAACTGAAAATAGAGTTTGTAAACAAGTATGCAGATGAGGATGGCTGACAGACATTCTTTCAGGTTTTGGGATAAACAAAAAATTGAGAGGTATGAGGAAGAGCTGTGTAACAGGGCAAGAAGATTGATTCTGCAGAGTGGGTGCTGGCAGTATATAGATTTAAAATTATCTCTGCATGTTTGGAGGTGGCAGAGCAGAGAGGATGTGATTATAGAGCTGATCACAGCAGCAGCATTTATACTGTATTGGAGAGATACTACTGATGCAGTCAAATGAGTGCAAGATCTCCTTTGTCCTGTGCTCCAGTGGAAGAGTTTTGTACAATTATTAACTGTAATGTGATTAGTAATACACAATAGGTTCTTATTAGGCCTCTTGAGCAAAATTTATAATAGGAGGGGAAAAAGCCATTGAAACATATTTACTCATTTAGTTGAAAGCTATTTCTTTTTTAGCAGCTAGCACTAATCTGACTATATTCAGGATTTGCAAATCCTTAATCTCTTCAATCTGTTGGAAGGTGCAATTCTTTGAATTGGTAGCTCTTAAATACTAATTAAGATTAAAATGAGAAATAAAAGCTTTCCCATGAGGAATCAGCTTTGAGATGCCAAGATAAACTGGAAAAGGAAAATACTTCAAGTGTCATGGGGAGCAAGGAACCAGACAATAGTGAAAGTGTGTCTGGAATATTTTTTTTCTTTCTTATTCTTTTCTTTCTTCTTTTCCTGCATTTATATATTGAAGTAGTGGGATTTCCCTTCTTTTCCCTTCATCCTTAAGCTTTTCAAGAAATACTAGAATACTTTATATTTGTTACTAACAAAAATATTATATTAATAAATGTCAAGCTCTTACTGAGTTACTTATTTAGACAGTACTGCAAATATGTTACGAAATTAAGTGATTTGACTTTTAAAACTTAGTACATCAAGAAGTATTAATTCTCTCAATTTCTACATCTACCAAGGTGCTGTAAGATGTTTTCTGTGTAAAAAGATAGCAAACCCATCCTTTCACTGTTACTATCAAGTCCTACATTAATTTATTTTCAAAACTGCATGCCAGTGTTTAAAAATAGAACAAGTTTATCTCTCACCCAGGCTATGCACAAGTGTGAAGCAGTGAGAGAAACTTATTAATGAATAATGCAGCTTCCTTGGGAAGACTGTGTACGGTATTTCCTCTTTCTGCTGCAGATACATGTTCTTCCAGTGAATGCTTACCATTGTTTCAATCCAGATACACAAAAATGTCTGGTTTTACCTACAGAACAGACTCTTCTCTAGTCATTACATACGTAGCATGCTATTTGCCTAGCTCTTTGTTGTTTCATGGTAGAAACATAACTTTGCCAGTTAAAGGCTTGCCTTTTACAAAGACCAGTTACAGAGCTTCTCTTGGTTGGTGGTTATAGTTGTCAGATGTACTTTGTAGCCTGCATTGGAAGGCTGTCCCTCACTGCAGCCACAGAAGTTTGGTACTGGCAACATGCTAGCTTTAAGCCAGCAGTGCAGTCCAGCTCATCTTTGCTGCTGCAGTTCATTTATTTTGCATGCCCTTCAGTTTCAGGGGTAAATGTCAGCTGTAGTTAGTGTGTCTCCTAAAAAGACGTTGGTAAGATTTCTCACAGAACAGAAGAGAGCAAGTGAAAGAATTTGGTGATGGATTATTGTTTGTTTTAAAGCTGTTTTCCTAAGCATGCTTCACAGTTATCTCCTGGTGTTTTTTAAGTTCCAGAATTTGAACTGAAGGGAGAATCTTGCCGGTATTATTTCTTGCTCCAAGGCAATGGCTCTGGAGGATGTAAAGCAACCTTGATTCATTCAGCTAGCCAGATCAATGGTACAGCTACTCTTGCTGCAGTAAATGGAAAGCTAAAGACAAAAGCAGAAGAAACAGAGTCAAGTAAGAGTTATTACTTATTTATTTAAGAGTATCTGAATGCAGGCAAATGCTACTAAAATTTGAGTGTTCCTTTTATTTGTTCCAGTCTGTGTTAAAAGGGAAAAAACAGGGAAGAATATGACATTTTGATGAATATCTCTATTCTTTCAGCAATACGTTTTCAAATTGATAAAAAAAATATTATTAAGAGCTTACTTATTCACACAATTTACTACTGCCATGTATTTTAAATAAACTACTTAATATTGCAGTCAGTCATTTCTCATAACTGTGATTAGTTGTAAATCTTTTAATGTACAGGGATATCCAGGAATATTAACGCAAATCAAATTTGCAAAAACTTAAGTTTTAAAAAGTATGTATTGTTGGTATAAAGACTGACCAGCCCATGCCTAAAATCTAGGCAATTATCTGTTGACAAACCTATTTCACCGATGATTTAAAAGAAAAACTTCAAGACTGGCAGGCAAGTTGAATTTCATGATCATGTCTTGAGTTACTTGACAGTTGTCCATAGGATATGAGCTAGCGGATGAGCAGCTGCTCCACTAGGTAAGAGCATATATGTAGACATTTATCTTAGAGGAGTTGTCCTGTTACAACTATGTGTACTAGGTAACTCCTAATTCATGTATTTGCTCTCAGTAACACTGACAAAGAAAAAGAGCAGTCACCTGCTTCTTATCCTCTTATTTCTTTATTATCAAAATAAATCTGTGTGCGATATGACTGACTGCTTACCATTTGTCCTAATTAAAATTCAATTAGTATGATGTCAGAAGACTGAAAGTCCTTCACCATTTGTTGGGTGAAAACTTTTCTTTCCTGGTATCCAACTTAGGATCTTTTTACCTTCTTTAAATGTCAGTCATGTTAACTGTGTTGTCATTATATTGATTTTTTGAAGTCAGAAATTAAAAAATATTGGTCGAACATCTATCCCAAGTTATCCCCCTGGTGTCTTAATTCAATTGTAATTAATTTCCTTTTTTTTTTTTTTTTTTTTTTTAATGATTAGCAATATTTGAAAGTCTAGTTGTTTCCTTTGAATATGAAATCTGTATATCTGCTGTGTTTATGATGTTTATGTCTTCTTTTAAGAAGTACTGACTTGGTGTCTCCAAAGTCCTATGAGAGAATCTTAATAACAGATTTCTCCTAATCTGTACAGGTTTTTGTATGGCTGAGTTTATCAAGCTTCTGCCACATTTTTGTGGGGAGGAGATTGTACAGAGAGAAAAGAAACTGTCTCGTCTCCAAGTGTTTGCCTTGAAGGAATATCTCAGTAAGTAATGGGGAGAGCACTGGTAGTTCTCAAATTAGTATTTAAAAGGTCTTTATTTCAAACTGAATGTGACAACTCACCTTACAAAACCAAGGTGAGTTGATCACTTAGCGCAGAAAAAAGTGGAGCTTTAAACGTGTCAGATACTGACTTTTAAATATTGAGTTTTTTTTGGGAAAGAGAATGCTGAAATTGAAATAGAATTGGTGGATGTTTGTTACACTAATATTCTAAAAGTTTGAGCATAGTTTTGGGATAATTCTATGGTAATTAACTTTTTCTCTGCTCTGTTTTTTTATGCTTTTTTTTCCCCAAAACCCTTTGCTGCTGGATGTGCCTGCTACAAAAATAAGAATTCTCTTTTGGTGTTTCTGAGGGTTTTTTATTTTATTCTTTCTTGCAAAAGCCTTAAACAGCTGAGGAGAAGTGTGCCTTGGAGATTTGTTACATTTATCATGATACATCATCAGTAATAATAATAACTGAAAGGTCATTCTCTGTAGATTCTCATGACTTTGCAGAGAAGTACATTTGACTGTCCTCATTTTTTCCATCTAAGTCCACTGCTTGAAGAAACTCAATTAAAACAAAAAATACTTCTGAGAGATTGGCTAGATTATTGAAAATGGCATGCTGTGAAGATAATTTATGTGTATTAACAGAATACCATTTTAAGGAAGTTAAGATTTCTGCTAATGGTCTTGTCTTCCACCCTCACCCCCATCAACTTGCATTCATTCTCCGATTCCTGTTTACTTTAATCTTGAGCTTGGGGCTGCCTTAGAGCTTGTGTTTTAGTTTGTTTTGAGTGGGTCACCCATTTCCATTAGGATGAAGACTGAATAGGAGCAGTTGGGATTTGCTAGTCATCCTAAATCGTATCAGAAATACCTGACCCATGATATTCTGACCAAAGAGACTGGAACGGGCTATCAGTTAAATTTGAGCCACACTCTGCAACAGCAGTAAAAATAGGTGGGTAGGAAACTCTGCAGACTGGAGTTTTTTCATGTTTAGACTCAGCAAGTCCAGACGTTTGGGGGATTCAAATCTGGATATACTTGGAAATGCACATATACAGAAATTAAAGGACTGTGAAAAGGTGATTCACATGTGATTTCAGCTATTCTTACTCCTAAGGGTTTTCACTTGCCTACGTAATAAACCAGCGATGCCTTGCTTAGGGGTAGAACAGTAAGTGTAAAGTTAATTTTCTTGTGTTAGTGTTTTGGGTTGGGGATTTTTTTGTTTGTTTGTTTGGTTGATTTTTAACAGGCTCCAGTTATTCTTTGTTATTTAGCAGGTGCAGTAGCATCTCTTTCTCTTTCTTTTATAGAGAGAAAGGAATTGATTGAGCAACCTCCAGTTATTTCTGCTGATGAATTTAAAAATTTGTTACAACTTACAAGAGAATGTATTTTGGACCTGGGCAACACTGGTTTTCCTAAGCCTGTTCTACAGAGGGTTGCCAATAACACTAGGTCATGCACTGTGACTTCTGGTGAGTATTTTTATTTAGAAAATACACTGCTTATTCTCTTTTGATTTATTTTCATACCTGTTGTCTATTTTTACTAAAAGAAAGAGAGTCTTTTACTAAAAGAGGGGAAAAATAGGAGGAAAAGTGAAGTAGCTTTCTAGTCTTTTTTGGAAACTGAAATTACTCTCGGATTAACTTTTTCCTTTCTTTTCCTTGGCAAAAAAAATTATGCACAACATGTTTCTGTTCACAGCATGAGGCAGATTTTCCTTATATTTATATACTTATATATGAAAGAATATATATAAAAATAAGTATATATGCATATATGTATTTCTTTAAAGAGTAAGATTCTTTACTTCTGTTAAAGATTATCCACCATATATTTATTGCAGAATCTGATTTAATGGAGTCGAATCCATTGGAGTGGCCAGAAAGCCATGTTCTTCAGAATCTGGAAAACTTTGAAAAAAACAAACAAAAAATGAGGTAATGGTTAAATACTGGAGATTTTCTTTGTAGTGGCCATGGAACATCACTGTAGAGGAACTGTATATGTTGATAGACATTTTGCAAACTGTTTTCAAATATTTTGGTAATCTTTTGGCGGAAACATCACTTAAGGCTAAAACTAAGTTTCTGTCAATTTCTAAAGCTGTATTTTCTTTGTATTTAAAGTAGTATTGTTTTGATTTTTATTGACAAAATGCAACTGAAAGTTAGCTAAAAGTAGCATAGTCACAAAACCAAATTACCAAAATAGCACTACTAGAAAACACTAGAAAACAGTAGCCATAGTGGAAAAATATATAAAAGCTTTTTTTTTTTTTTTTTCCTCCCAACAAGCCCTGGGGCATAAATAATAAGGATAGGACAGTGGTTTTTGTCAGCATGTACAATATGTTTCTAATCTTGTATTTCCTAAATAGTCAGGACTTAGTATCAGATCTCATGTAATTTTAAAGTAGAAGATCCTATTGGTTTTATTTTTGAAATTTATATTTCATTTTGTTTTTCCTTGAGTGCTGTGATACCTGTAGAACTTTGTGTCACTTAGTACAGCCTATTGATTTCAGTTTAGCTCTCACTATATAAGATTTCATGACCTTTGCTGGGTCTTGATATTTTTGCTGACAGACCTTTAGAGCCAGGTGTCCAACTGCCTTTTCTTAGTCACTTCCATTCCATTTCTGTCTTTCAAATACCATAGTTGTCCATGGCCTAGATTGGAGTTCTGCACGTCAGAAATTCTCACACTAGAGCTTTACTTTCTCATGGGTATTATTATTATTATTGTGATTATTGGCTTTTGGCTCTCAAGCAGGTAAATTTCTTCCTTTAATTAGCTTTTGAAAAGCTTCCTGACTTGTTTCATGGTCAGTTAATGTTTATTTCATTGTATTCCACACTGGTTATCTTCTACTTATCCTGAATCAACGTACAGCATGTTGTTTCGCAGTAGAAAAGAGAGGATTTTGCTATACTTGATTGAGGACACTAAAAAAAAAAGAAACAGAGTGGAGAGTTGCATGCAGTAGTGGCTTTATGGTTCCTTTGCAGCGGAATGTAGGTTTCTCTTTTTTTAATGGGAATTAATGTTTGATCCTACAGATCCATAAATGGAAAAAAGGATGAATAATGTTCTTCCCATCTTGTATTTCATAACTAAGCTATAAAATCTTGAAGAAATCACTTTCTTCAGTGGGGTGGTAGAGAATTTGCATCAAATATGCTTTTATCATGAACATTCATGTAAATGTCCTCAAGAAGCAACCTTGTTTATTTTACTGTGCAAATACGTTTAATTGCTCTAGGCTAGCAAGGATTTTATTTTTTTAAGTACAATTTGATTACCACATTGAAAAGAAAAAAAAATTCTTAGATTGGTCTTCTTTTTTTTTCTTTTCCTTTTTTCAGAGTTTCTGTGTTCACACGTTCATCTGAGCAATTGCTGGGGCATAAAGATAGCCAACGGGAGTCACTGACGTTGCTGGATGCTAAAGAATTACTGAAATATTTCACACCAGAAGGGCTGCCAGTTGGTGATCTTCAGCCACTACAAATCCCCAAACGGTATGAATATTAAAACCACTGAATACCATACTCAGAACTGATGTAGGGGAATGTGGACAATGCTCGAATGAGAGTCTCAAAATGGCCTAACTGGATTTGAGTTTGTAACTTGCAACATCCTTGCATCACATGCCTGCCAGTGAAATCGACTGTTAACGTCCTCCAGTCAGTCTTGCTGTTTAGTTCTTTCAGAATCTGCAGTGGCCAGAGATGATGATGTTGGTTCTGTGCATTTAAATAACACAATAATCAACTGATGCACAAAAGTGCACCAGCAGACCTTTGCCATGGCTATGCTACAAGCTGCTGCCACCATATGTGCCCATTTCCAAAAGAGTATTTCTAGCAAAGCAGAAATTACTGTGGCAGAACTTTAATTTTATTGGTGTGATTTCTTTCATTCAGTGGAGTGGACACCAGGTGGGAAGACAATGAAAGTGTCAATAAAATAGCTGGGCCTATTTAATGGTGTTTGTCTCATGTCATGCTGGCCCAGCATCCCTATCAATATTCTTATGTGGTAAAGGGCTCCTTAAAGGAAGCTTGTCCACTTGGGCTACTTTGCAGTTATTCATCCTTGGTGTGTCTGCGGGTA